TAACTTTTGGGTCAAATATATTAACTTTTAATGTCATAAATAAATAATAAAAATATAAAAATAAAAAAATACATAAATTTTGCAAAAAAGAGCATTTAGGCATATGTATAATATCATGTATTTATCATATTAAATAAAAAGTAAGGGTGACATATCGGAATTATTTTTACACAAAAAAATAGAAAAAATTGAACACATCTATAATTCTATATTTACACTACTATTAAAAATATGAATAAGATTGTGAAACTTTTTTATTAGAATGAAGGTTTTAAAAACCAACCTAGAAACGAAACCACTTTGGCTTCTAATTTTTGGGTCAAGGGTTCAATCGTTTAGTTTGAGAGGGTCAAATTGGTAAGATGTAAAATATAATGTAATTTTCTATTTTGTCTGTTAAATTAGTATTAAGTTAAAGTCCATCGTTTATATACATTGATATGAGAGGGGAGTGTAAGACTCTAAGAAGGAGGTGACTTGTTAAAGTTGAGAAGTTAAAAAATGATAGAAGAAGAAGAAGAAGATGTCGGTGGCTATTTGCCCTCTTCTTACATCTCTCCCATCTCTCTTAAATCCCATATCATTTGCTTCATCAATAGTTTGGTGTATCTCAGATTTTAATATAAGTTCGGTGCTTAATCTCTCATCTCTTGCATCAATTTGTTGATTTCTTCATTAGAGTTGTAATTTTTTTTGTTACAACTTAAAAAGAATAATAGAAATGAGAAAATTCAAAATCCAAATAGAAAAACGAAAAATCCTAACTAATTTTGGCCATAAGGAATAATTGAACAAGATTATGAGATATGAAAGTTTTTTTTCAATTATTTTATTTTCTAAATTCCATTTTAAGATAAATAAAAATGGAATTAGTTTGAAAGTGGCACGAGAACCATTAACTAGGTCGAACATTTTAACAGTTCAACTGTCGGGTTAACAATTCTTTAACCATTTCAATAGTTTTTTGTAAAATAGCGGTTCAGGGCCAAAACGAAACTAGTGACATGACCAGTTCTCGGGCGAAAATGGTTCGACTGTTTGATTTGGTTTGATTTTTAAAGCAATGACTAAAATACTCATTTTTTGAATTTAGTCTCGATTTAATTGTAACATTTAAATTATAAATTGAACTACTACTTTTTGCCTCATTTAAGTCTCACATTTTTTTTATTTGATAAATGAACAAAAGAAAAAATATATAACAAAAAGATAAAACACTACAAAAAGAAGAGTTTAGCCAAACAGGTAAGCATGTCAATGATACTTGAAACTTTCCAATTCGATCTGATTATCACATATTTGGATGATGTATTTATGTAATCAGATTTGAAATTTGCAATCTACGTCTAATTAATAATAAAAACAAGAAAAATATAGAAACAAAAAATAAAAAATACATAAAGTTTATAGAAAATTTTGGATATATTATTACCATAATGATCATCATCTAGAATCGCCACGTGAAAAGCACATGCACGCTTATAAAAAAAAGAATGAGAGAGGGAGTGGGAGAGAAATTGAGAGAGAACGATAGAGATTGAGGGCGAAGGAGAGATTGACTGAGAGAGAGAATGAGGGAAAATGAGAGATTGACTAAGAGAGAGAATGAGGGAGAACGAGAGATTAAGTGAGAAACAAAATCAGAGAGATTAAGGGAGAACGATAGATTGATAGAGAAGGAGAGAGCGAGAGAGATTGGCAGAGATAATGTAAAACCCTTTTTTCAAATCACATAGTCGTTGAATAGAGGGAGATGACTGTGAGAGTGAGAAAGTGGAAGGGAGATCAAAAGACAGAGGGAGTGGGAGAGAAACTGGAAACCTTTTTTATTTTTTATTTTCAAATAACCCAACATTAAGGGCGATTTTAGTATAGGATTTTTGCTTTGTCCAACATGGATTAAGAGTCTCATATTGGCAACAACCACATAAGCCTCCAATGACATGGTGGGGGGCTTTTTATAATTTGAAATGTATAGCTGATTGTGAGAGTTTTGTTGGTTTTTGAACCAAGTTGTAACATTATTTTAAATGTTGAACTGGCTAAGACTATAATTTTCCCAAATAAAAGAAGAAATATAAAAGTAGTAAACAAACAACAATACATTATTCTTGAATATATTTACCATCACAAGGAGATGAGGAATAGTCCCTACGGCTGTGTTTAATTCAATGAAAAATATGAGAAAAAAGAAAGTTGAAGAAAAGTTCTTAACAAATTTTCACAAATTAAATTTGTTGAACCTTCCCTTAACTTTCTCTCAAACCAAACATAACCCACCTGACAGACGTTCTCCTTGGTTACTAAAACATGGGGTGTCAATATTTATAGAAAAAAGTGAAATTATGATTTTTTCTAGGATAAAAATTGAGTTCACTTCTGCGCCCCACAAGCACATCACAGTCGTGTATTGAAAACATTTCCTAATAATAGTACAAAAGATTATAAAATATCATCGAGAAATGTTCCCACGTTATGAAATATCAATGGAAGAGGTCAAGACCACAACACCAACCAGCCTGTTCAATCAATCATAATTTCTATTGAGAGTTTGAGACTGACCAAACAATGTAGAAGAGGGAAATAAGGTTGTTGGATGGAAAGGGGTTATAATTGAGAGATGCATGAGTGGGATTGTTGGATGTGAGATTCTAGTTGTCCTTGAGGCTTTAATTAATTTAGTTTAAGTAACGGTGAATAGTGATGATAAAATCTTTACTTCAATTTACTCAATAAAATTAAAAATATTCTGAATTGGGAATAACTACATGGTTTATGATACCTAGTTACCTACCTTAATGTTCCCTTGTATAAAGTATTGATATGTGTAGCTAACTTTTTTCAAACCCATTATATTAGAATATATAGATTTATGCAAGGTTTTCAAGATCCATATGGTTGGATCATTTGGCCCGGGAACCGTCTAGGCAACCGATTCTGTTTTACCTCAAACCTAGTCTTTGGCCAAAAATCATTAGAAAAGTCAATAATTCGTTGACCCGTGAAGTCAAGCTGTCGATCCATAGACTTGTTCAATGGTTTTGACCATTTTTTATTTTTAATTTTTTAATTTTTAATTTGTTTGTCAGAATGAACCATCCGTTCAAACCAAACAGTCAGACCGTTGACTCAAAAACCAGTAGCCAGAACGATTCCATTTTTGGGTCGTTTTTTAAATAGTTGATTTTATATTCAAGCAATAAAAATTTGATTAGAATATTTTAATAGTATCGTATAATGTTAAGACTTATAAAATGATAATTGCTCAAATATTTGTATTTTGTATGAGTCATGTTTCGGGAACCTTAAAAGGTATTTCGAGAAGAACATTAAAAAGTCCTTCAAAATTTATAAGTTCTTTCATAGTATCTTTTTCCCCTTTTATTTTGTTCCAACGCACGCCACCCTTCTAGTAGTATATATTATTCGTAGATGATTGGAATTTGGAAAGATACCAATGACCCAATAGTTAAAGATGGTAATTGGATTTCCCTTTGAATATGGAGGTGCAAGATCAGTCATTGGACCTTCCATGCGCCCTTGTATGTCCCTACTTCTTAATGGCTTAATCCCATGTGTTAGACATGATGAAAAAAAAAGTTAGAAATGCAATTTTAGAATGGGTATTTAAATACACCATGGTTTTTAAAATCGGATTAGGCCAAACGGTCAGATTTGGAAACTTGGGAATCGGTCAAGTAATCAGTTCTGTTTTACCTTAAAATCACTTTTTGGCCAAAAACCATTGATATGGTCAGCAACCCACTGACCTGATCGGTTGAATTGTTGATCCTAATAACAAAGTTTGGCATTTTTTTAATTTTAATTTTATTTTTTAAATCAGAATGGGCTGTCTGTTTGAACCAAATAGTTGGACCGTTTTAACTCGAGAATTGGTCTCCAAAATGGTTCCTTGTCCAGTCCAATTTTAAAAACCTTGAAATACACTAATTGGAAGTAAATTGTACATTTTTTATTTTATTTTTTTGGTAAATTGTAGATGGATATTGTAAGGAAAACACCCCATACACTAACAAAATACTATTGGACATTTTTTATTTTATTTTTTGGTAAATTATAGATGGATATTGTAAGGAAAACATCAAAATCCAAAAAATGCATTAATAACATCAAATATGCGTGCAAATCTATACTATATTATATAGGGTTAAATGCCACATCAGCAGCTCGTCCTTTTCCCATCACACCACACCTTGTGGCAATGACACCAATCCACATCACACCACAGTCCATAGCTGTTTTGAACTATGGATAGATTGTGTGGACCAAACCAGTCCATACCCACAGTGGCGTTCTATAGGTCAATACCACACTTTTTGATTCCATGTATTTTATTGAAAATCTACACAGTCGATCATAAATGTCTAATTTTTGGATTTTATATGGTAAATAAATTAAAAAAAGGCATCAATATGTAGATAAAATTGCATTTTTTAAATAATTAAAAAATATTATTTTAAGTATTAAAAAATTAATATTTTATTGACAAAAATATAAAAAATAATATTTAAATAATGAAAAAAGAGTTAAGAAGGAAAACTATCAGACTTATGCTAGAATTAACATTAAAAATTATTATTTTATTGATAAAATATTATAAATTAAAAATTTAAAAATTATAAAAAGATTAAATAAAATGAGATTAATTGGACCAATGTAATGAACGTGCATTACACTGAAACCTTCCCATAAACTATCCACACCACAGTATGGATCATCCACGAGAAAATACTGTGGATACTAAATTGTGGTGTGACCCGTTCCTATCCACGCTATTTTGACAAAATGCCAAAACACTATATCTTAATGTGGATAAGACCAAAATAGTCCCATCCATGAAAGTTACACGCTACCGAAGGCCACCGTAATTGATAGGGAAAGTAAAAAAACTTGCTAAACAACCTATGTAGAGAAAAGGAAACTTGCAATAAGAATTTCCCTATCCTTTCTACCTTCAATTAACAGCTCGAAAATGGACTTAGAGGCAATCACAATTCAAAGTCGTGAATACAGTGAAATACTACTTCAAAATAGGACTCTTTTTGTTCCCTTCCCTCTGGCCAAACCGAAGAACTGAGGCAACTAAAGACTACTCTTCCCCTGTTTTGGTCCTGGAGATCCCCCAGAGGAGTGTAAAACAGTCCCAAAGTTTCATTGTCTCAAACTATTCTTAGTGCTACTCCCAGTTCGCACAGTTCATCGTTCAGCTCTTATCTCTCATCTCAACCCAGGTATGACTTTAGTTTTAGACTTTCAGTCTTTTCCAACCCAGTTTCATAGTTCTCAGTTCACGGTGGGGTTGTCTCATGCTAAAAGCTCCTTTATTCAAAATTGAAAAATTTTGAACACAGAACAAGACAAATCTCATCCGTTTCCTGCAATCTTGCCGCGTTGTTCCACTCTGATCTCTCATCTCAACCTAGGTATGATTTTAGTTTTAGCTTCAGTTTAGTTTTTGTTTTTCTCTTTTCCTACCCAGTTCGTACAATTCCCAATTTGAAGATTTGTTTTGTTCCATCTCGCTTAGTTTTTTTTTAATGGTTCCATTTCAATCAAAAGCTTCTTTACATCTGGAAGGTAGAGGAAGAAGACTTCCATCCCATTTCTCCCAAGTATGATAAAAAAATGCTAGAATTTATCTTCTTCTAGCCCAAAAAAAACGTTAAGAAATTTCTAAATTTATTTTGATATTTTGTGCTCATTCTGCTGGTTTTATGTTGAAAATGGGATTCTAGGAGGCTTGCCGGCATCCAGAGAGTTCTTAGGAATTTAGGATGCCAAAGGATGGGGTCTTATTCGCCCAACACCGATGTTGTTGCAACTGTAATTCGTGTTGAGAAGATAGTTAATTGGGTCGATCAGTTTCAATTTATAACCGGACCGATTAATTGAATTGTGTTCACCCATTTTTGTCACTGTGGGGCACGGCGGGGCACACATAATACGGTGTGATTCAATTTTGTTGGCTTTCAAGAGTATGGAAATTAATGTTTTCGAAGACAATCTTCCGAGTCCAGATCTCCTGCCCATACAAATTTTTTTCACATCTATCTATATAACATCGAAGTTACACATGGAGAACATCTCATCCTCCTATATGGTATTATGGAGGGGAGATGTTCCCAATTTATGAGGGTAATGAATTATGGGTAGATATGAGTAAAATTCTCGTGGACAGGAGATCTGGAGTCCAATCTTCCTCCTTGATGGTCTAGCCCACGTAATTAACCAATGTAACTTATTTAAGTTACACTTTTTGAAAAAACTTATTTAAATTAAATAATTAAGGTACCCATGCCTCTTGAATTGAAGGGGTGCTTGCCCATCCATTTATTTAAGGGTAAAATACTTATTTAAGTTTACACATTTTGTATATAATGTATACATATGTAAATATGTTATTTTACATTAGATTATATATTTTATATATAAATATTATAACATGACATGTATAATTTATATTATATGTAATATTTTATATTATATAATGTATAAAATGATTTTATATACATGTTATGCCATTTAATATAAAATATTATAGATATATAATGTTTTATATATGAAAGATGTTGGCCCAAAATCAGGCCCAGCCCGGGCCCGTATAGACCTAGGCTAGGGCTTATGTTTCAGGCCCAAGACCTTGGGCTAGGCCGGGCCCGGGCCTAAACTATAGCCCTTACCATAAGTGCAAAGCTCGGCCTGAGCCTGGCCTGGCCCGACCCATGATCACCCCTACTCCTAGGTGGATTAATAATTTTCTCACCTAGAGGGAAAGTTGCCAATTATTTTATATGCATTTGCACTTTATATATTTGTATTTATACCCCTTCCAAACTGAGCCTTAAGCATTGAAAAAGAGATACTACGGGCTTGTACTGGCTTCCATTATTCACTTGTTGAATGATTAGACATATTGTTAGTTAAGTCATCACTCTTTGCACTAGTGTTAAAAGCATGCCTGCCTACTTCAACATTTTGGAGGTGTCCTTCACCCACTCCTAAGCTGGCTGACTTAAATTCTTTAACGTCAATATTTCCATAACAATCTATGCCATCAACCCACAACTAGGGGTGGGCAAGAAAAATTGAAACGAATTGATGAAATTAACCTGAAAATTCTAGTTAATTGAATCGATTGATTTGATATCTTTAGAATACGGAAGCTATCAATTCGGTTTTGATTAATCAATATAAAAAACCAACAATTAATCAAACCGAACCATGAATACCCCTATTCACAACTAACTTTTCTTAACGGGATCTCCATGTTCCCGATGATATATACTTTTGTATTATTCCCTTGTAAACAAGCATTTTGTAGATTACATTTTTCATTCTCATTTTAAATATTTTTAAATAAAATTTTAAGTATCTATAATAAAGTATTAACACCTATATTTTAGTAATTTACGTGAAGTGTGAAGGGTTGGTTTGGGGTATTGATTGGAACATGGGAAAACTTTGAATGAATACCAACTCTAGCAAGTTACAAAATCCATAGTAATTTCAATTCGATTTTAATAATCAATAATTTATTCTTTTATTTATTTTTGTCCCCTCTCTCTCTCTTTAGACTGTTAAAGTTTTGATTGACATTGGAATATCGGCCGATAGCGATCAACACATCACCATTCACCAATACCGTCAAAAGTCAATACATTCCATCCGTGTCACGTACGTATTGATCTGCATCCTGCATCCAGTATATGGTATTGAATTGATAGTTTAGACCATGAATAATACTGGTATACCCTACAACAGGAGAGGGGGTAGCCCTACAGTGATTGTGTAGTTGTGGAGTTCGGCTTCAGTCTTAGGCACCCTCGGTCAGGGCACCGTTTACGCAATTGAAGGCCACGCGTCCTCTACTTCATGTAAACGTTGAATTATGCGAGGATGCTTTACGTCGTTAGTTAGTCAAGTAAAACCTATTTTTTTCGAGTATCCTCTTCTCCTCTCTTCATCCATTTGGCGGCGACTTAACATCCACTACTGCCGGCGACAAATAACCATCACCGTTGGATGGATTAATCTCAGGTATTGTCTTTGCATCTCTCTTTTTTTTTTTCTTTTCTTTTCATGAAAATTAACTCTAATCGTTTTGGATGGCAGTTAGCGACCAGGTTTCTTTTCCCTCTCTCTCCCCCATCCACCCGACGGCCACTTAACTTACTAGACCGACGACGATGATAGAGGAGCAGGGTAAATCTCGACTAAAGTGAATCAGATCCAAAAACGGGAGGGGGACCGACGACGATAAAAGCCAATCAAAGTGTTGTTACTGCTCTGCTGCTAGGGATGACAATTTTCCCTATTCCTGACGGGGACCCGATTTCCCCTATCCTATTAGGTCGGGGATGGGGATTGTTTTGGCGGGGAGGGGATGGGGACGGGGATTAATAGGAATCCCCGATCGAGGTCGAGGATGGGGACGGGGATTAATAGGAATCCCCGATCGAGGTCGGGGATGGGGACGGGGATTAATAGGAATCCCCGATCGAGGTCGGGGATGGGGACGAGGATTAATAGTGATGAAGGGAAATTTGGCCCGATCTCGCAATCGCCCGACACGTGGCAAAGGCAAGCAACTCGGGACAGTAGAGCGCCCGAAGCGAACATCGGAAGCAAGTCCAAGCTCACTACCGAGCCCGAACTCCAGACCGCTCTACTAAGAGTCCGAGCTCCCTA